GGTTCAAATAAAAACCACTCAATTTGTAAAAACCGTGAAAACTTCATTCAACCAATCATAATTTTTCATTTTGTTCATTTTTTTGTAATTACGAGAGGTTGATTAACCATTCATTATTTTAATTTTAAAGAAATACATGAAACAGTTTCATTAAAATTTTATTAAGTAGTATATGAAACAATTTCACAACCACATATGAAACAGCTTCATCAAAAAAAATATTATATGAAACAATTTCATGAAAAAATTTCATAAGATTAACGATGGATGAGAATAGTTTTTACGGTTTTTACAAATTGAAGTGATTTTCATTTGATCGCTCCTCTATATATATATATATATATTATATATATATATATATATACACACACAAGCTCACACTAAAAGAGTCAATAGTTTGGTAAATTGTTCTTTTATTTTATGCTATTAAATGTAACATTTTTATGTATTTATTTAAAGAACAAAATGTGTTGAAATATAATAAAATCTGTCTTGGTTTCTATTCAACGTGGTAAATAATATTTTTTCTCAAGATTCAAATTTATTTGTTAACACAACAAACTTTCTTGATCGACGTAATAAAGTTCCATAATAAAACAAAATTAGTAGGTTACCTGTTAATTGGGTATAAAACAGAAAATTTTGTTACGTTGGTTGAAAAAAGTCTTCGTTGAACTGAATATAACATAAACCAGATTTTACTGCTTTTGTCGTTTTATTAATAGATTCACCTTCACTAATTTTTTTGATACCACCCTTGGGATCAACATTAATATGAAATATAGATAAAAGCTATCTGACATAAACACTAACACATACACATACATATACACATGTTTAAACCAAAAACAATTTTAGGAGCATAACAGCGTTGCTTTTATATATTTAGTAAAGGAAAAGTTTAAAGGGTTTTAAGATATTTTATCATAAGATTAGGGGTATAAAATGCATTTCAAAGAAGGCTAATTAAAGGGTTTCCTATGGTCGTTGAAAATGACGGTTTATTTTCAAAGGTTCTTAAAAGTTCAACACGCATTGGTTGAATTGGATACGTAGATGCTATCAAAACATTTCCAACCAAATTCTCTCATGCATTCGTCCATTCTACGTCATGTAATCTTCAACATTTTCTCTCTCCATCTTCATCATGTCAATTGAGTTGCATTGATTTCTCTCTAATTTTGCAAATTGGATCAGTTTGAGGCTTGTTATATGTCTTATATATGTTTCTCATTGGTGGTTCTAACAACATGAGGTGAGAATATATATTATTTCCCAACTTGTTATGGTTGATGAATGGAACTAGTTTAGTGTCGTGTTTTAATTCACGGTTGAGTTGATTTTGATTGCATTGTTGAATTTTATCTAAACGATTTGGTGTTAAGGTATATAATTCAACTTTGATGCATGCAATGATGGATTTCCAATTTAGGGTTTTCTTACGTTTTCAAATTGTTGATCTACAAATGGAGCTTAAGCTAGGTTGGGTTTCCACATTCATGACGTTTATTATTCAGACCAATATTTCAATATGATATCTTTCTTTTGCTGATGTTGTATTTCAATGTTGATGTTTACAAGTGTTAATTTAGGGTTTATATGAGAAAACCTAACTTCAATGTGTTGAACTTTGTCCATGATGGAGTAGTTCATTAGAAATTTTGTATTATGAGCTTAAAAAGAATTTAGGTGTTAGATAGTTTAAGGTTTGACATATCAATATTCATAGTTAGCGTCGAATATGTTATTCGGGTTTTTTGTCTATAGAAACAAAAAGCTAATGTTTATGTAATTGATCCACACAATGACACAAATTTAAATCATGCCTGCCATTTTTTGGTGGCCACAGATGTAGATATATCTTTGTGGGAGAAAAAACTTGGAGCTAAACAGAATCACGTTAACAAACTTTGGCTATTAAGCTATGAAGACATGTATTTGTCTAAGGCTAGAGCTCTTAAAAGATAGCAAGTGTCTGGATTTGAAATTAGGAATTTTAGATGAATGTCTAACTAATAATAGTTCTTTTGTTTGTAGATAAAGTGGTGCAAGGGATTTTGATACATTTTTTGTCTTGATGTAAAACGGGAGACTTTGGGTTTGAAAAATTCCACCCTTTTGATGTTATCAAGAGAAAAAGTGTTGGTTTGAGATCTTTTATCTGGTTAATCAGCCTCTTCAATTTTCTTTTTATTGCATTTAATATTGTTAAGGCAATGTGATGGACTCGATTTCTGGAGACGAGTTTGAACTAAGTGATGGACAAGAGTCAAGTGTGCAAGAAGAGAAGATTTTTGTTGCAGTGAGGCTTAGGCCTTTGAATGAAAAAGAAATTGCGAAGGGTGATGCATCTGATTGGGAATGTATCAACACCACCACTATTGTATTCAAGAACAACATATCGGAACGATCAATGTACCCGAATGCCTATACTTTTGGTAAGTTATCTGCTATCTACTTCTTGTATTTTTTTTCCTTATATCATCATACCCTAAATGTGTCATGTATATGAGCGTTAAAAGCTATAAAATCTTTCAAATGGACCCTTTCCAATTTTCACCTTTTGTGGTGTTTGGTTGTGCGGAGAGAAAACCAAACAAGATAAAAGAGTTTTGGGTAATTTTCTTCATTGAATGAATTACAAAAAGGGACCTATTTATACAACATTACAGTAAAGCAATAAACAGAAAAAGAACTCCTAACTAAAAGTTGTTGCAAGTAACTAAACAACTATGTGTACATATCAACATCCCCCCTCAAGTTGGAGGATGTGAAGACTGAAACATCCCCAACTTGCCTAAAATCGTATGATGTTGTCTTCCTGGAAGACTTTTGGTGAACAAGTTAGCCAATTGTTGTTTAGTAGGGACGTAAGATAGAGAAATAAGGCTAGCCTTCAACTTCTCTAGAACAAAATGACAATCAATGTCTATATGCTTTGTTCGTTCATGAAAAATAGGATTTTTCGAAATATGAATAGCAACCTGACTATCACAGTGTAAAGAAATGGGAATTACATCAAGAACCTCCAATTCATGTAAAAATCGAGACAACCAAGCAAGTTCAATAGTTACACGTCTGACTGACCGATACTCGGCCTCAGCGGACGACAAAGAAACCGTAGCTTGTTTCTTGGATTTCCAGAAAATGGGGCTTCCTCCTAATAGAATATAATAATCGTTGACCGATCTTCGAGTACACAGACACATAGCCCAACCAGAATCACAGTATGCTTCTAGCTGAAATGAAGGATCTTTAGTAAAGAATAGACCCTGAGTAGCAGTACCCTTGAGATATCTGAGAGTATGAATTGCAGCTTGATAATGAGGAACAGAGGACTCTGCATAAATTGGCTTAAAAACTGAACTGCAAATGAGATGTCTAGACGAGTGTGAGTTAAGTAATTAAGCTTTCCAACAAGCTTTTTGTATTCCTTTGGATGAGACAACAAATCACTTTCAGTATATGACAATTTCAGCTTATGTTCGAGAGGGCTAACCATGGGTGACAATTGAGAACACTGAAATTCATCAATCAAGTCTACCGCAAACTTTCATTGAGTAAGAACAACACCTTTGGAGTCATATAAAACTTCCATGCCAAGAAAGTAATGTAGAACACCTAAATCTTTAATCTTGAAAGTGTTGTCCAAAAAACATTTTAGTGACTCAATTTCAGCTTTGTTGTTCCCAATCACTAATATGTCATCCACATAGATTGCAAGAAACACAATAGATTTTCCACTTTTCTTGTAGAAAAAAGAATGATCATTTGGAGAATGATCAAAGCCAATAGACCATAAAACATCCGTGAGCTTAGAATATCCTTGTCGGGATGCTTGCTTCAAGCCATTCAAGGACTTCTGCAGCTTACATACATGATTAGAAGAAGGAACAGAAAGCCCTGGTGGTGGTTTCATATAAACTTCTTCATGAAGAGAACCATGTAGGAAAGCGTTATTGACATCCAGTTGAAACATGTTCCATCCCTTTTTAACAGCAACAACCATAAGACTTCGAATGATGGTCATTTTAACCACCAGGGAGAAAGTTTCGATATAGTCAGTATCGACTTTTTGAGTAAAACCCCGAACAATGACCCTTGCCTTACATCGTTCGATTGTACCATCAGCGTTAAACTTGAGTTTGTACACCCATTTGCAAATTATTGGCTTCTCACCTACAGGTAATTCACATAACTACCAAGTACCGTTAGTGTCAAGAGCTATAAGTTCTTTATCCATAGTTTCTTGCCATTCGGGCAAACCATCTGCCTCCTCATATGTAGAGGGTTCATGTATAGTCTGTATAATATTCATAAATTGTTGACTTTGGGTAACAAGGGTGTTAAACAAAAAGATGTGGTTTGACAATGAGAGATTGTGTATTGGGGCAGAAAATTTCATTCTTTGTACTAGAATCAACAGCCATATGACCACACACAAAATCCTTCAAATATAGTGCTTTAATAGTTCTTGATGACCTTCTCACCTCTTGTGAAACATTGGTTTCAGATTCAAGTTGTGATGGTGTGACATTTTCTTCACCATCTGAATTAGAAACAATCGAAGATGGTGAAAGAAGGGTTGAAGGAACAAGATTGATTGTAGAGTATGGAAAAACGGACTCATGGAAGGTAACGTCTCTTGAGTAAAAAAAATGTGAGATTCAAGTGAAAGAACTTGGTATGCTTTCTTTCGAAAAGGATATCCTAAGAAAACACGAGGAATAGCTCGAGGTGAAAGTTTGTCTCTTCCTTGTTTCAAGGTGGAAGCATAGCACAAACACCCAAAATTGCGTAAATGATCATACTAGGTATATTTCCAAAGAGTAATTGAAAATGTGTCAAATCATGAAGAATTGCGGATGGAAATCTGTTAGTGAGATACGTAGCTGTCAAAACACTCTCCCCAATATTTAATGGGCAAATGAGACTAAAATTACAAGTCTCTCGAAGTTTCAAGAAGGTGCCTATGTTTCCTTTCCACAACTCCATTTTGTTGTGGTGTTTGGGTGCAACTTGTTTGGTGGATGATCCCTTTTGATAGGAAAAATGAAGAAGACTCTTTCCCACTTCCAAGTTCCAAGGCATTATCAGATCTAATGGTTTTTACAGAGGTATGAAATTGATTTTCAACCATGGCAATGAAGTTTTTGATTAAAATGAGTGCATTGCTTTTACAACTCATCAAATAGGTCCATGTGGCTAGACAATGATCATCTACAATGGTTAAGAAATATTTATAACCATCTTGTGTTGGAACACGATAGGGTCCCCATGTCTGAATAAGATCAAAGATATGTGTCGAGTATGTGGCACTAAAGGGAAAAGGTTGTCTTGCTTGTCTAGCCGTTTGGAAAATTTGACAAGAATTAACATTTGTATAATTAGCACGATTTAAAACAAGAGACATTTGATACAATTTATTGAAAGAAATATGTCCAAGTCTTTGATGCCAAACAAAAACATCAACTGAATTACAAGAAAAAGACTTAGAAGAAACTACTTGTTTGCAATTAGAGGTAGAAGGAACATCATCGTTTTGCATCATCTTTGTTGTTTGAACCAACTTCATCAAATATAACCCAATGTGTGCTTTACCAAACTCTACTGCCTCTTCAGAAAAGGAGCTTGCAAGATACATTTTGTAGGAGTAAATGTAACAATGCAAGAATATTTTTTATATAACTTTTCAATGGATATCAAATTGTACTTGAACTCAGGAATTAGAAGGACATCATGGATAATGAGATCAACCCTTATCTGGACAGATCCCTCCGAACTAACAGAAATTGTGGCATTATTGGGTAAGGTAATGATGTGAGGTTTAAGAAGAGGTTTTATGGTGAGAAAAAGGGTGTGATCATGACACATATGATCACTTGCCCTTGTGTCAATGATCCAAGGCTCATCAACATCATAAATACAGTTAGATTCTACACAATTATCCTTCACAAATGAAGAAGAACAAACTGATTTACCTGCACAGTTGGTTGAGGACTACTCCTGTTTAGTACCCTGTTTCGGTAATTGAATTTGGTTCAACAGTTTAATCAGATGTTCATACTGATCTGGAGTAAAATCAGTTAAAGAACCTTGCTCATTTTTGCTTTCACCACCACAATTGTGAGCATCATCATGGGCTAGAGCAACAATCCTCTTTTTATCTTTGTTATTTGGATACCCAAGTTTCTTCCATCACTTGTCCTCTGTGTGTCCAGATCTTTTGCAATAGTTGCAGAAATATTTTGGTTTCCTATTATTTCTCTCAAAATTTGCTTTAGAGTTTTGTGAAGAAACTCTAAGATTTCCAGTATTAAAAGCCATTGAATCTGAAACTTCAGAATGTGTCAGAAGAACAATATTTTCTCTTTGTTGTTATTCTTGTATCAAGAGTGAATGAACCCATGCCAAAGAAGGTAGAGGACTCATCATTAATATGTTCCCCCTCACAATTCTAAAACTATCATTGAGCCCCATCAAAAATTGTATGAGTCTTGGATCCTGCATCTTCTTGTGAACTGCTTCAGTAGATCTACAAGTGCAAACAGGCATTTCATCTACTACATTCACTTTATCCCATAGACATTTGGCTTTAGTAAAATATGTAGAAACATCCATATTTCCATGTTTTAAGGATGAAATCTCCTTATGAAGATTATACAACCGAGTTCCACTTGATTACCCAAATTTGTGCTCCAATTCTTTCCATGTTTCTGCAGCAATGGTGTCACACTATTTGCAATATCTTTGCCCAACACATTTAACAACTAGAAATCACCATATCATTGCATCTCTCCCAAAGCAGAAGATTAGGTGAATCCAGATCAGATTTATCGCACTTATCTGTGACAAAACCAAGTTTATTTTTCGTTGAAAGAGCAATAATCATCGATCTTTTCCATGATGAAAATCCAGTTCCATTAAACACAGTGGACACCAATTGCATTCCTAGATGATCAGAAGGATGAAGATACGTCGGGCTATTCACATTGATACTCATGATTGATTAAAATTGTAGAAGCAGAAAACGAAAATTGTAATTGACCTAATCGAGTCAAGAATAAAGAGGTGGATCGATCGAACAAGAGAAGAAAAGTATTGATTCAATTTGATCGAACAATTATCAAATTGAAATTAGAGAAAAAAAAATATGTATGAAGGTAGCTCTGATACCATGTGTAGAGAGAAAACCAAACGAGAGAAAAGAGTTTTGGGTAATTTTCTGTATTGAATAAATTGAATGAATTACATAAAAGGGACCTATTTATACAACATTATAGGAAAGCAATAAACAGAAAAAGAACTCCTAACTGAAAGTTGTTTCAAGTAACTAAGCAGTTACGTGTACATATCAACAGGTTTAACATGGTCGCCATTGTCCATACTTGTATTTATGTAGTATCGTATAGGTTAGAAAGATAAAGGATAAATAAGGGTATTTCTATCACTTGCTAATATGCATTAAGATGGAATACAAAAATTGGGATTTAGATCATCTTGCATATTGGCCTGGTTACATGTAATATCGATTGGTATCCTTTTTTTTTCTTTTCTTGATTATAGTCGTGATTAATGATTGTTTTGGATGTAGACCGCGTATATAGGTGTGACAGTTCGACAAAACAAGTGTACGAGGAGGGAGTCAAAGGAATTGCTCTTTCTGTTCTTAATGGCATTAACTGTAAGTACGTTTCTCATATTAGCCCATTTTATATAAATTATATCAATCATTATATTTTAAGCCAATAAACTATTCCTCCAGCAAGTATATTTGCTTACGGGCAGACAAGTAGTGGGAAGACATACACCATGTCTGGAATTACTGAATATGCGATAACAGATATATATGACTACATAAGCAAGGTACTTATGGAATTTGTTTGAAATTCCTAAATAAATTTCCATTGGAACCTGGTCTCATGGGCACATCTTTTTGTTTCAGCATAACGATAGAGAATATGTGTTGAAATTTTCTGCCATAGAAATCTATAACGAATGTGTTAGAGACCTTCTCGACCCAGATGGTACTCCGCTTAGACTCCTTGATGACCCAGAGGTGAGACATAAAAGGTTCATTTATTAATTAATAAGATGTTCTATAGTTCTCAAGGATTTATGGTTTCAGAAAGGGACAGTCGTAGAAAAGCTGACAGAAGCTAATTTAAGGGATTGTAGCCATCTAAAGGAACTCATTTACGTGTGTGAAGGTAATATCATTCATTTTTGTCATTTGTTACACAAGAATGTGTATTTATAATATGGTGTGAGTTGTGTGTTTGTAGCCGAGAGGCAAATTGGGGAGACGGCACTGAATGAAATGAGTTCCAGGTCTCATCAGATTCTACGACTGGTAACCATTCTTAATCTAATTACTTATCAACATGAACGAAACGACAATATATTAATCATTCACTCGAGATTATTTATTTCAGGTGGTTGAAAGTACTTGCCGTGAATATAGAGGAGATCACAGCGGAAGAACTCTTACGGCAACTGTGGTACGGATGTTTCCTATCAATAACCATTATCTCAAAATTTAGTTGATTTTTACTTGTTGTAGTTTCTTGATGTAAACACAAGAATAAATAAGCAATTGGTTACCGTGCAGAATTTTGTTGATCTAGCAGGAAGTGAGCGTGCTTCTCAAACCTTAGCAGCCGGTGCACGACTGAAAGAAGGCTGCCACATAAATCGTAGTTTGCTAACACTAGGAACTGTTATTCGCAAATTGAGGTGTCCACTTTCGATCCATGTTTTATTTTTTATCTGTGTGTTGAGTTCTGGATAAAAAATGTAATACATTCATCGTCAATCTTCATTATTTGGATGCAGCAAAGGAGGAAATGGCCATATTCCTTATAGAAACTCCAAGCTAACACGCATACTACAAAGCTCCCTTGGAGGCAATGCAAAGACTGCCATACTATGCACTGTTTGCCCTGCACATAGTCATCTTGAACAATCAAGAAACACCCTTCTGTTTGCTTCTTGTGCCAAACATGTAAACACCAATGCGCAAGTCAATGTAGTGATGTCAGATAAAGCATTGGTCAAGCAGTTGCAACAAGAATTGGCTAGATTGGAAAGTGAGTTAAGGATGTCTCCTGCTTCAAATGGTTCTACATCAATAATTAAAGATATGGAGTTTCAAATTGAAAAGGTGAGAAACAAAGTTACTCTACTAGCTAGTTATACGTAACCATGGTCATCTCATTTTGATATTTGTTTCTGATATATTAGAGGACCAAAATCAGGTTGGTTTCTTATTGAGTTATAAATGAAGAGCCGAAAACTTATAGGTGATCTCAAACACACAAGAGATACTTTTTTACGTCTTGTAACACTTCCAAAAGTCAATATGTGCAAAACTTCCATAGCAAGACTATTGGCTTCCGTAATCATAGACTAAGGAATGCATTATAACGTAGGCAACTACTACATATAAAAATGCCTTCTTAAGAGGGTCGATTTACTCAATAACTTTGTATTACTCAGATGGAGAAGGAGATAGAAGAGCTGACTCAACAACGTGATCTTGCTCAATCTCGTCTTGAGCATTTGCTACGAGTAACTGGAGTTGATCAAAATTCTTTACCATGGGTAGGTTTTCTTCCCATTGAACAGAATAAGGATACACATCTTTATTAATTTGTTATCCTAATCCTTGTTATTATTGCGTAGGCGGATTCTGGTGACCTTCATGAGAAGGGTTCAAGAGACGGATATCTAGCATCAGACATGTCCGAGATGGTTGATCCTCATAGATTTGATGCTTCATTGAACAAATATCATCTTTCTGACATGAAGGGTACAAAGACTCTGGATGAGAACCAACACTTCCTTGATGAAAACTCTCCAATGCGATTTTTGGATCAACATTATGTGCCAGACCCATCTCGGGGGCCTGAGAATATTTCTCAAGAAATCACAAGAAATCCAAAAGATGGGTTCAAGGAAGATCAACATATGGAGAAAACATCAAGCATAGACAATAACATCAAAATAAATCTAGGAGATAGCAGCAAGAAAGATCAACGTGTTGAGAAAACATCAAGCAAAGACAATAACATCACAATAAATACAGAAGACATGAACAAGAAAGATCAACGTATTGAGAGAAAATCAAGCAAAGACAATAACATCACAATGAATACAGAAGAAATATGCAAGGAAGATCAACATACTGAGAAAACATCAAGCAAAGACAATAACATCACGATGAATACAGAACAAATATGCAAGGAAGATCAACATATTGAGAGAACACCCAGCAAAGACAATAACATTACAATGAATACAAAAGAGAGCTGCAAGGAAGATGAACATATTGAGAGAACTCCAAGCAAAGACAATAACATCACTATGAATATAAAAGAGAGCTACAAGGAAGATCAACGTATTGAGAAAACATCAAGCAACGACAAAAACATCACAATGAATACTGAAGAAAGCTATAAGGAAGATCAACATATTGAAAAAACAAGAAACAAAGACAATAATATCACAATGAATACAGAAGGCAAGGAAGGTCATGGTATTCATAAAACATCAAACATACACATTAACACCATGATAAATCCAGAAGGCAAGGAAGATCGACGTATTGAGAAAGCATCAAGCATAAATGAAAACATCACAGTAAATCGAGAAGGCGGCTATAAGGAAGATCGATGGATTGAGAAAACATCAAGTGTTGACAATAACAACACAATAGATCCAGAAGATAGCTGCAAAGAAGATCAAAGGATTAAAATAACATCAAAAATAGATAGTGATATCACAACAAATCCAGAAGATAGTTACAAGGAAGATGAACATATTGAGAAAACATCAAGCATAGACAATAACATTCCTGCTGAAGAAGCCCAGTTAGATGATAGTTATGGTAGTCCAAAGGAAAAAATTCAGGTCATTCATTCAACTTTAGGCCGCATCAAAATTCAACATGCAGAATCATCTCCATGTTCATCCGACACAGACATGTTATCTGATTCAGAAAGCATCTCTATACCAAGAAGCAAAAGTTGTAAGGAGTTTACCATGACTAAATTATCTCCTCAATATGAGAAGGAAATGATGATGGGGAGTACAAACATTGATGGAACTGATATAGAATTTTCTGAAAAACAAGAAGGGAATAAACAGATTCTAACTAAATCAAAATCAGAGCCAGATGTTACAACAAAAAACCGACAAGAATCTGCTAGTTCTGTCACTAGTGTTGATGAAAAGGAAATCAAGCAGAATATCAAGTTATTAGCTGAAGACGACGCATCTGATCATTTTTCCACACCTAAATCACCCAATGAACTAGTAGCCTTTAATCCTAAAGTGGTTTCTAGTGATGAAACGGTATGGATGTTTTCTTGTATATTTGTTTATAGAAGCTATAACCAATTTTACTCTAATCAAATTATAAACTTTTGTCAACTATGATTCCATTGACAGGTCAAGGATGCTGAACCAAAAACCAAGGAACTAAAAGAAGTTAATGATGAAACCATGGCTCCTGATAGAAATTGGTCTGTAATATTTGAGAATCAAAGAAGAAATATAATTAGACTTTGGGATGCATGCAACACACCTTTGCTTCATAGGGCCTATTTTTTCTTGCTTTTCAAAGGCGATCCATCCGACTCTGTGTACATGGAGGTGGAGCTTAGACGACTCTCCTATCTTGTGAATACACCAGCAAGTGTCACTAGGTACTATATTTCCAGTTCCTTTACCTATTTTTCTTTCAACTTAGACAATTTTGTTGAACTCATAACAGTCGTACCTAGAATACATACTAACCATCATGATTTACAAATTATAAGTTCTTGCTCTTCATCTAAGATCAAATTGAGTGACTTCTGATCCATCTAAATCACCAAGAAACGAATATTAAATAATGTGGTGTCATATCTACTCATTAAGTCATTGGCTTATTGTTTTTTTATCATCCATTTTTCAAGATTATGATCATACTTTTTCTTGATAACCAAAAGTGCAAGGGCTCTTAGTCGTGAAAGATTAATGCTAAGCAAGAAACTCCTAAAGATATTTTCAGCTATGCAACGAGATGCTCTCTTTCAGAAGTGGGGAATTCCGTTGGACTCAAAACATAGAAGGATCCAATTATCTCGTTTAGTATGGACCAAAACAAATGACATGGATCACATCAAGAATAGCGCAGAGTTAGTCGCAAAGTTGGTCGGGATAGTAGAGCTAAACCGAACACCAAAAGAACTATTTGGGTTGAGCTTTCTTCCCAAGCCAGATTACTATAAAACCTCATTGTGGAAAGCCAGTATGTCTCTTACATAGGTATACTTGATGTTTATGAATCCAAAACATTTCATTGTATTACTCATTCTAAGTACTATAAATATACCATGTTCGAAACCTCACTGATAACTTCAAGATCTTGACGTCGTGTGTATGGTTTTCAGATATTCCCAAATCGATTTTAATCCTAAAAAGTTAGTACATAAAATGTAGATCTTGGTTAAATGTTTATAAGCTTGTTACCTTTGAAGTTTGAACCATAAAGATAAGGCATAATCATATACAAACCCAATAAATCATACAAACTTATAAACCAGTTTTCATGTTTTTTGCCGTATGAAATAATACATGTGAAAATACAATGTTTATACAATATTGTTTCATATACATATAAAACAATACTATATAAACACGGTATTTTCACACCTGCTCGTTTTATAAGTTTATAAGAATGATTGGTTTTGTAAAACAGAGAGTCATGCGAGATATTTAACAATCGGTTTTAGTTTCATGATTTACATCTCAACTTAGATATTTTGATAATTTAAATCGTATTTGTCATTAAGTTAGACAATAATAAGCTTTGGAAATGAATACATCTAATAATATGGTATAATTGTGGGTATTTTAAACCAAATAAACTCAATGATTAATAAATCACAGTGTTCTTTTTTGGGGTAAGATGTATAAGAGTGGGGTGTTATTCCAGTTTTATTTAATTGATATATCATTATGTTATGTTACATAGTCGAATAGTAAATTTGTTGGTATATTTATGGATGTCGTGCATTGACAATTTGGTTATGATTGAAGGCTGCTATATGAGTATATTTGTCTAATTAATGTAATGAAATATATCTCGATTTTAATGTTTCATTTTATTCTATGTCTTTGTGGATATAAAACGGTTTTATTTGGTTTTGAGAAAACGAAAATGTTTTTATTTTGAAGATATCATAAAATTTTGAAAAAAAAAATACCGATATCAGTATCAAATTAACTATTTAAAAGTTATCGTTTTTTGGTGTAATTCTTTTTAATTCAAATTTCTTTTATTATAATTTAATTTAGGTTTAATAACGAAGTAATTTATTTTTGATTTAATAATATAATTTATAAAAATATTAATTAAGTATTTTGTTACAACTCAATGATTATCCTAATTATAGTTTTAAATTTTTATATTAAAAAAATGAGATATTTATCATGTATTTGATTATGTTTATCTGCAATTAGTTATACGAATAACTTTAATAAGTCGTACTTACGTGCAATTTAATTTTAATGTTAAATTTTAAGTAATATGCATCAATAAACAATAATTCATACATAAAAGATAGTTTTTAAAAGTTTTTCTCAAATGATTTATAATATATTATAGATAAAATAACTTATTTTTGAGCTTATTGAAAAAAAAAACCCTCATTTAGTTTACCATAAGCTAGTTGATAAGTGGACTTACTAAAACGCTACTTGAATTAGTGTTTCCATAAACTGTATGAGCTTTTGGGACTCATCTGTTATTTTTTCATTAAATCTTGTATAGATAAAACTATATGTATGGATTAACTTGTTTGTACGAATTATGCTAAATTGTTGTTCGATTGTTGTGCTGAATAAATTACTTGGATGATACAATTGACCATTTTACCCTTACTGTTAGTTTTTTTTTCTTTTTTTTATTGCTAAACTCGATATCTTGTATTATGATCGGTTAACAAATAAATAGCAAATAAATTTTGAAATACACTTTTTCTTGTGTTAAATATTTAAAATTAAATATTGTTAGATGTTTATGTAGTCTTAAATAGAAAAACATAATGCACTTTTCAATTTTGAATGATAAGGTTTTAACTCTTTCTTGAATGAATAAACCATCATAAAAGTCTTCGAAGTTTTTTTTAAATAAATAAACCATATAACTTTTAGAAATTGATTACTTACATTTTTTTAATCTAAAAAAACTAAATGTAACTCGTTTGGAAGGTTTTAATGTAAAAAAACATAAATCAGTTTTATTGTTTATCAAACACTATGTTATTCGAACCCCTTGCGCACAACACCATCGCTCCCCATCACCACCCTTTTCCGCTCCTTTGACGTATGCTTTTCATCATCGCCTATTGCCTATCTCCCTCATATATATATATATATATATATATACACACACACAGAGAGAGAGAGAGAGAAAGAGAAAGAACGCTTAGTTCAAATGTTAACCCAAATTATTGTGTTAACTTTATAAACCTTTTAGACCAATCACAATATCTTAGTATATTAGATTATTTATTATCTAAGAATTTAATGTTAAGGGTATGTGAGTAATTTTTTTTATAACTCCTATATTATTAATTGGGAGTTACAAAATTCATAAAATCCCATGATTCTTGCATTTTAAATATTGATCTTGTGATTTTTTTTCATTTTTTTAATATTGATCTTCCATTTTTAATATTTATAAATTTGTTATTGGTGGTGGAGATCTGCTAGTAAAGTGTTTGTTATCGTTCAAGCAATTATGGATAAAAACATTGAAAAACAACATGACAACATTGAGAAGGTTAAAATTGTTTATAGTGACAATCGGAGTTTGAGATCGGAAAGTAAAGTAAATAATCAAAACGAGTATCTTGGTAATTATGAACACAAATTGACATATATGACATAAATTGACATGTATACACTCATATGAACACAAATTGACATATATATATATGAACACTTGTGACAATTATAAACACAAATTCAACATATATATGTGAACACTTGTGGCAATTATGAACACAAATTGAACATATATGAACACGTGTGACAATTAGGAACACAAACTGAACATATATGTGAACACTTGTGGCAATTATGAACACAAATTGAACATATATGAACACTTTTGGCAATTTATGAACAAAATTGAACATATACTATTTCTACTGTTTGTAACCGATGTCATTCAATGCACATTATCTTTGACATAAATACTCTTCAGCAATTATGTTCACATATGTTTGTGAGATTACACATTTAATAAATTAAATCTATAATATGATTAATCTCAACTCTTTATTTTAAGGGAAAAGTCTCAAAAAACCCAATGGACTTTAGTATTTAGATTGATTAAATCATTGGACAACTTTTTGGAACAAATAAGTTCTTAGACATTTCAAAACATGTTAAATAAATTCTTTGACTTTCTAAAATCTGTTAGATACATCATTATAACATATAAACTGGTTAATATTGTAAAATAATGGAAAAAATCTGGAAAAAAAAAGCTAATGAACTTTCATATTTTCAGCAATTAAGTCTCTAAACATTTTTTGAACCAAAAAAATACTTATATTTATAAAATGAAACAAATAAATCAAAAAAGTACTTACATTTATAAAAGGTATTTACATTTAAAAAAAATTGATGAAATTTATTCTAATTGAAAATAAAAAATACATGGATGAATCGAAGA